GGACATCTTGTGCTCCACTCACTACTTAAAACTTTGAAATGTATCTGGAATGTTTTGCACATGCTTAGCCCACATCACTTCCTTCCTTTCTCTCAAAGCTTTTATTTTTAAAATCTCTCTTTCTTAAAAAAAAAAAAAAAATCTGCAAAATCAATTTTTAAGAACAGCCTTAAAATGTTCACAACAAATACTTTTCCAGCCAGTCAACAAGGCATTCAGTTGATTCCCAATATTTAAAACACACTGTACTATTCAACTAATGTTGATTTATTTCACTCCCTGTTTTTCTTTTGAAATTAAAGCTATTTAAAAGTACTTAATTGGCTGGATTAATTGATTAATTCATCAATAAATCAGGCAGACTTTGAAGTCACAGTGGTGGTGGTTCAGGTAGTTCAAGATCTTATTATATCTTAGGGCAAATCTTTTCCTACTGAATTATTTTATACCCTTAAGATTAGACTAAAGAGAGTCCTTTAAAAAAATTGTACAAGCCATAATATTTCCTATGACACTTTATAGAAATGAAAGTTGGACTTTAAAGAAGCGGTACTGGCACCTTTGAACTTTGCTGTTGGAGGAGACTCCTAAGAACACCACGGACACCCAAATAAACAAACTGATGAATCATAGAACAAATCAAACCACAGTTCTCACTCAATGCACAAATGCCCAGGCTCAAATTATCCTCCTTTGGTCACAATATGTATGCAAAGACCTAGTCCTCTGGAAAAATGTTAGAAAAGGCGGATGGAAAGAGAAGAAGAGGACAACCAGCAACAAGATGGACAGATTCACTTGCAGTAGCAAAGAGGTCACCATTAGAAGACCTGAAGGATAGATTAAGAACAAACTGTCATAGAGAAAAATCTCTTGATGGCAGCTATGATAGTATGTGGTTGCAAAATTGTTATCTGCAACACCTTTCAGAAAAACATGTGACCCTATCAGCTGCCACACTTTAATAGTTCAAATTCACTATTCCAATAATAATATTTAAGTCATTCCTCCAATACACAGTATACCCTTCCCAGGGTGCACTTACGCATGTATTAATATCTGCAAAGGAACTCTACTTGCTGTTTCATAACTGGGAAGATTCTCTTTCAGTAGAGGCCAAGTAGCACTGACATTTTTCTTTTTTCTCTCACATTTAAGACTTGACAATCACAGTCTGACAATGAGTTTTCTCTCTTAATTTCTCCCCTATTAATATTCCCTGTTTATCAAGTAAATATATGACATATTATTTAAATTGTTTTTTTAAAAATTTCTAAGTTTAGTTTAAATTGCAGTTTTAAACAAAAATATTTATTTAGTTTGATATTGCTTTATCTTATTCATAACAAATTAAATGAAAGAAAAAAAATATTTTTTCTTATGGATTGTGACCTGCCATGAAATTCTCTAGATAGTTTTGGGCAATAAGTAATAAATCTTGTGTTGTGGAGCTAATTAATGAATAAATGTATGGGATTAAAGGGGTAGATTTAAATATGGATAAAAGAAGCTGATATACTTGTCAGAAAATATGAATTAGTATCTTGTGGATTATTGTGTATACATAAGGAAGTAGGAACCTATAGGTAGATCTTAGTTAATTGTCACATTTCAATGAATGGTTCTGATGAAAGAACCAAAGATGCATTAGGAAAAATGATACAATTTTCTGAAAACATGATCCTGGAGAAAAAGTTATTTTTGATTGGTGACCTAAACACTGTACATAGGTGGAAACAAGATGAGAGGGTACAAAAAAGTTATTAGATCATTCAAAGATCCAAGAATTGATGAAAATCATATAATGATTATTCATGTAGAAAATGTCTGTTCCAAGTAACTGATTTAAGGATGTCTACTTCAGTATACATATAACAAACAGGTGAATATAAATGGGGCTTTTAGTCCAACTTCTACACAGGGAAGAAAATGTGTAAAAGCTGAACCTTACTTATTTTGTAAACAGAGTGGCAGGTGTTGTGCCTACCATTCAAGTGGAGCTGCACACAGATGCCTACCGCTCACACAGAACTATCCCCTTTCCCACCCACCCTCCCCACTGGGTTGCCAAGCCAGAAAGGTTGGAGACCACTGATAAAAAGCACAAATAATTGTCAGTGGGGATCTAACAAAATCCTGCAAGATATAAAAATGGACAAGATAGGGATGTCTATTGTCTCTTCTCTTATTCATTTTAATTCTTGAAATATTGAATAGTACTGTAAGGCAAGATGAGAGAATGGTGGGAGTAAAAATTCAAAAATAAACTTGTAAATTAAATACATTTACTGATGACTTGTTATTTGATCTGGAGGATCCCCTAAAATTAATTGGAAGATTATTTGTTGTGTTCTCAGGTTTTCGGGTTAATAATAAAATACTAATCTCTCTCTCTTTCTCTCTCTGGCTTCCTCCCTCCCTCCTCTCTCTGTTTTAAAACCATGTTCTGAAGAGCCCTAAGGTGGGTGGGGGAAGGGAGTAGTTGATTCCAGAACAGATTTTCTAAACTGCAAGGGAAAGGCAAAACTTGTCAGCTAACATTCAGAAGCTTCACACCTCATGAGGCATTGGTGTTTATGATAGCTCATCATTTTGCCCCTTGATCAGGGGTTCCAGGACGTTTTTCCTAACTAACAGTTTCTGCAGTTTGAGAAAGTTTGAAAAACCCTTGGTCTAAACTATGTTTGTTGATTTAAAAAGAGGACATAATGAAATGAATAGGCTTGAATGTGAATTTAAAAGTTGGCTGCTGAATTCAATAAATCAGTGCAAGTGGCCCAAGAATAATGAGATCACATACAAAACTATGTGTATTTTATAAGCATGTAATGAAATGCAAATGTAAACGTCTGTTCACCATTTTGCATATGTGTAAAATACACCTAAAACAATCTAAATCTGCATAAATTTAAAGATGTGATAAAATGCCTCAGTATAAGAGCATACCCTGGTTCATTGTTATACAGCAGTGAAAGAAACATAAAATTAAGTTGAAAGTAGTTGGAATATATCACAAATATATTAATGAAGACTGAATGTGTTAAAAAGAAAAGAGAAGAGAGAAAAAATACTAAAATATAAAAGGGAACAGGAGGGGGAAAAAAGCCCCAAACCATTTTATATTGCACAGAAATATTAGGTTGGCCTTATCTTAAAATAAATCTTCATATCTTGATTTTAAAAAACGAAATCATCAGTCTTCACTTTGATAAAGAGTCCTGCTACTATTGAACAGTGATCTTTTACACTGTCCCCTATAGTCAATAAAACAATAATTCTTCACATAATTATAACTTTCTATACATTCTTCTTTATTCTTTATCACTCTAATTATTCTTTATATAATTTTAACTATATATAATATAAAAACTAACTTTTTAGTGTATGGTGTAAATTTACATTCATATATTCCAGTCCTATTAATAACACCATATTAACAGACATCGAACCAAAATGGCATAATAATATGACAAGCTCATGCAGTATGTGAAAGTATACCTTCATACCAAAGTTAAGAGCCAGCCCTTTTAAAACTTATTCTGGAGTGATCAATAAATAGGAAAGGTTCAGTTGAAAATATTCAATTTTAAAATCATAAGAAATGTTATTAATATTCTTTAAGATTCTTAGCTGTTGAATTGTTAGTGTGACATATTTAAACATTTTCTTCAAGAGTTCTTGCGAATAGCTAATATCTATTGTATTGAAAGACTGAGGTAAAGATTGATTGAAATAAAGATGCTTTACTAATGATATTACCTCCTCTAGATTGTAACATTTAAAGCGTGCGCCAATAATGGGAGAGTTTCATTTATTCATTTGTTTGTTTGTTTGTTTGTTTGTTTGTTTATTTATTCATATTTATCCCACCTTTGTAATTCTTATACATAACTCAAGGCAGTGCACATATCTAATACTCTTTCCTCCTCCTATTTTCCTCACAATAGCCACTTTGTGGTGTAAATTGGGCTGAGGGAGTATGACTAGCGCAGTCACCCAGCCTGCTTTTATCCTAGGGTGGGATTAGAACTCATGGTGTTTTGGTTTCTAGTCTGGTTGCCTTAAGCACTACACCAAACTGGCTCACTGCTGCAAATGCATCTGGGCCAAATTTCACTGGCATATGGACCTAGTAGAAGCAGGCATAATTTGCAAGAACAGAATGGCCTGGAAGATTGATAAGTGGAATTGGTATAAACTAACTTCAGTTAAATGTCCTTTTCTTTTAGCTCATTTATTTATTTGTTTGTTTGTTTTGCCCACTTCTCACTGTTTTGATTGCTTTGCATAGTATTTACCCACACACACACACACGCACACACATTATTATGGGTATACAGTATTAGTCTTGTTTTTGTTGCTCTTAATAAATACCCATGGCTTCATGATACTTACGTAAAAACCTGCAGAGAATTCTTATTTTGCTAGATAATGATTATATACAGAAAACAAAATATGCACTTGAATATGTTTACAGAGGCCGGTGCAAAGGCTGTTTTATAAAGGGCCTCTGGGAGGCTGGGATGGAGTTGCCTATGGGTGAAGTTCTAATTCCATTTGCAAAGATTGGTTTAATTTGTAAATCCAATGAGAGCATGCTTCTAGGTCAGTGTTTCTCAACCTTGACAATTTTAAGGCATGTGGACTTCAATTCCCAGAATTCCACAACCAGCAATGCTGGCTGTGGAATTCTGGAAGTCCACATGCCTTAAAATTGTCAAGGTTGAGAAACACTGTTCTAGGTTGACTAAGAAAAATACCCAGTGTTCGTATTGCTGGTACTTATATTAGTTTGCCTGACTTTCTGATTTTCATGATCTTTTTGCCCAGTGGCAATCCACTTCCAGATTGTTGCCAAGAAAGCAACACAGATGCATTATGTGATTACTAGGAGCCAAGCTCCACTTGAAGGGGACTTTTCTTTTTTTAATAATTGTTTCTAATCATTGCTGCTTTCTCCTTCTGTCTCTTGCTTATTCTGTCTCTCTCTTTTCAAACAGGTAACTTGGCTCAATCAAGAGCAAGAGTAACAGCTGCATCCAGATCTTTACCTCCACAGCTTGGGTCAGGTCGTATTAAGGTCAGTACACACCTAAACTTTGAAAAGTGTTTCATATTTGAAAAGAGCCTGAAGTACGGGTAGTCCTCAATTTACAACCACCATTGGGCCCAAAATTTCTGTTGCTAAATGAGACATTCGTTAAGTAAATTTTGCCCCATTTTACAACCTTTCTTGTTAAGTGAATCACCGCAGCTATTAAGTTAGTAATACAGTTGTTACGTGACCCTGGCTTCCCCATTGACTTTGCTTGTCAGAAGGTTGCAAAAGGGGATCACATCACCCCGGGACACTGCAACCGTCCATAAATCTGAGTCAGTTGCCAAGATGCAGATTTTGATCATGTAACCATGGGAATGCTACAATGGTTGTAAGTATGAAAAACAGTCATAAGCCACTTTTTTCAGTGGTCGATAAACGAACTGTTGTAAGTTGGAGACCACAGTATCTGTATACTGGAGGAGCTGAAATGCTTTCTTGTTATTTATTCTCACTTAGAATTCATTTTCAAAGCCATTGACTTGTAATAGTCGAGCTATTTAATTTTGGTTAATTGTCACATTACTATTAAAAAAGAGGTTTTGCTTATATTTTTCCTCTATGGGAGAATAATCTTTATTATCATTTTCTTTCTTTTTATTGGCTTTTTTCCTTGCTCTTTCTTATTAGTTGCACACAGAAAAATTAACATGTAATCTCCCTCCTGGGAATGATGCATTAATACTGTAGTCATACATGGGCTTTTAAGCAGTTCCCTCCTGACCATAGTAAAAATGACGATAAAGGTTATCTAATCTAATTTCTGTTTTTAAGTAAATCAGACATTTGACATAAACTAACACTGACATTCTTTTGAGATTTCTTCATAGCATATATAGTTTAACATTCTCCTCATTCATTTTCATGATTAAGTTTGGTGAATTTGGTAGACAGTACTCAACCAAAGTATGTTAGAATCCCAAGGCCATCCTCCAATTATTTGATTGAATTAGAAATTACATAAGTCTTTTTCCTATAACTTTTGGTGAACACAGACATGACACAGCTTCTCCTCCTCCACCCAGCTTCTGAATTCTTAATAGTGGAAGTCACCAAAGTTCTACTGTAGATGGAATGTTCCTTGTATTACCAATAAAAACAAAACAAAACAAATATTTCATCTTTGTATAAACTGTCTTAACTGTCCTCAAAGATGACAGTGATGATTGCCTCCTTCCAGATTAAATAAAGAAGGTAGCTTCATTGCATGTTGGAACCTCTAAAAGGACATAGAAGGTGAAGGTGTTTCTTCCAATTGATTTCATTAAACAATACCAAGAAAGCAAGAGAACTAAACACAGAACTGCTATTTTGCTGGCAGCTCTGAAATTTCTATTGATTTTAATTTTACCCTATTTTTTTTCCAAAGCCAGACTCTTTCTTCAGTATTGATATGTAGGCCCACACATAAAAATAAACTGGAAGATTGGAATTAAACAACACTATGAAATAAGACTGAAACATCTTTGAATCAGTATCTTTCTTTGGACGTTTTGTACAAGATACAAAGTGCTATCATCTATTGTCCTCTTTCACCAGCGAAAGGCGTTATCTTCCTTTTAGAAGTACCTTTGATCAGATACAGGTAGTCCTTGATTTACAACTACAATTGTGACTGGAATTTCAATTGTAAGTCAGTATGGTTGTAAGTCGAGTGTAACCAGACTTGATTTTAGGATCGTTTTTTCAGGAGTTATAAAGCAAATCACATGGACATTAAATGCATCACAAGATCATTAAATGAATCTAGCTATTCCAATGGACTTTTTTTGCTGGAAACTAGTAAAAAAAGTCACAAATCATGATCATGTGACTGCAGGACACAGCAACCCATCATAAATGCGAGTCCATTGACAAGCACCTGAATTGTGATCACATGATCCTGGGGGTAGTGCAATAGTCATAAGTGTGAGTACAGATCCTAAGGCACTTTTTGCAAGGCTGTTGTAACTTTGAACCATCCTTAAATGGATGACTGTTAAGTAGAAGACTATCTGTAAAGTAGAGCAGCCTACTTTAAAACTGATTACACCTCCCTCCCTTTCCTAAATAACCCTTCCCCTTGTGCCATCTTTGCTGTTGCACAGAGAGTTGTCCCTAACTCTCTGGAGAAAATTTAGAGTGGCACAGTGAACTGCAGAGGGAGAGCAATTCAATGAAAATCAGGTCTTTCAATTAGCAGAGACTAACCCAGAGGTCCCCAAGCTCTGGTCCGTGGACTGGCACCGGGCTGCAGTGTACCAGAAACCGGGCTGCGCAAACAAGCAAAGCCCCATCCATGAGATGCAGACAGCACACAAAACCATGTCCTCTCCTTTCCCCATAGAACTGGTCCCTGGTGCCTGAAAGTTTGGGGACCTCTAGAGGGGTAGGCAACCTCGGCTCTTTTATGACTCGTGGACTTCAACTCCCAGAATTCCTGAGTCAGCTATGCTATGCTGACTCAGGAATTCTGGGAGTTGAAGTCCACGAGTCATAAAAGAGCCGAGGTTGCCTACCCCTGCGGACTAACCGGATCCCTGTCCTTGAGACAGGGAAGTAATTGTAGGTGTATAGATTTAAAAATAAAGAAGAAATAAAAAGTAAAACAAATAGCCTTTAGCCCAAAGAGACCGGTTTTCCTGAATGTTGACATCTGGAGATTAAAAGAACCTTAGAAGATAATGCAGAGCAATGCTATAATGTACTAATATGGGATTCATATTCCCTCTCTCCGCCAGAGAAAAAGGTGCATTTCTGCTTGGAAATATCTCCCTTGCTTCTTTCCCTTTAGATGTGAGTTTAGAAGGTTGACATTTCCTTGGTTATGTGACCTACATTTTTCATTGCCCATGCTGAGGCAGCATTTCTTTCCTCTAGCCTTACATGGGACTTTTCTGTCACCACTAAAAATGTCTTCCAGAAGGGCTCTTTTAACATTTTCATTTGAAAACTGTTTTGTTCTCTGAGGAAGAAAAAAGCAACTATTCTCAGTTTTGGAAAATAAGGTTTTATTTTTCCACATTCCCCCCTCCTTCTCCCCTCTCTGTATCAGTCTGTCTCTTTCCTGGCACTATATCAAAGAGTCTCTTAAATCCACTCCCACTCTTGTAATTCTCCTGGGTAATTCTTTCTTCTCCTAGCTGTTTTGCATGCACTTCTAAGTATCTCCTCAAAGTAAGGCATGGCATTCCTTTTTTGCGATCAGCCATCTTTTCTATCCCTTAATGCAGTGGTTCTCAACCTTTTTAATGCCGCGACCCCCAACCGGTCGTAAGTCGAGGACTACTCAACCGGTCGTAAGTCGAGGACTACTCAACTGGTGCAGCACCGTTTGCAGAATAGGACTTTTGGCAGGCTCAGCAGGGCAGAAACAGCCTGGACAATTCCTATTGGCTTTTGAAAGCCAATAGAATTAGACTCTATTCAAGAGAATAGAGTCTAGGAAACAGTAAGACAAAAGGTAGGAGCCCTCAGTGGCTTAAAGATCAGAGGAAGAAGATGCTTAGGAAGGACTGGCCTGAATGGATCAAGCAGTTAAAAGTGCCAGCAGGAAGTTGTACTGACTTACAATTGAAATTCCAGTCATAATTGTGGTTTTAAATCAAGGACTACCTGTATTTGATCAAAAATTCATCAACAGACTTGCAAAATTTTGTTAACATAGCCGTACAATAAAGTAGTATTAGCTCATCTAGCCATGTTTCTTGTCTATTTTACCAGGTAGGGTTGACAATGCCTCTGCTCATAGCCCCCTCTGAGAATATTAGGCTGGATCTGACATGACTTAGGAAACAGGATGTGAAATGGTGGCCTCTGAGCTTAAAGCAGGTGCTAAAAGTTCTGCACAAAGGCTTCATATATTCTTAGGTTAACCACCTGTTCGTAGCAGATGGCATACTACCACAATGTGTGGGTGTGTGCTAAAATGTTTCTAAGCTCCATGTGAACAGGGAGCAGATTGTCTTATTTCATTTGGGTGATGCAATGAAACAAAGCAGCTTTTGATTGGCAACTACTAGAGGAGATTTTTTTTTCATTCACAAAGTCTGATGCATGTATTTATTTTTAATTTAGAACAGCTGTAATGTTAGCATAATGAAGGCATGTTACAGAGTGCTTCCTATTTCATGTATTTGTTTGTGGGATGAAGCACTTTAAAGTTTTTTATTTAGAAAAGTGACAATTTGACAGGAAGAACCAACTAATGACATGGGGCAATAAAAAAACTACTCCAAAAGGGTATAGAAATGTTAATGTTCTAGGGCAAGGCAACATGAGAGGACAATAGATATCTGTCCATATTATTTAATCTTGCTATGATTCATCATGCATTATAGATCATTACAGTTGTCTACATCTTTGAATCCTATGGGGAGAAAACTTTTTAAACCATATTCAAATTACAAAGTGGCATATCATTACTTATTTCCAGATAGTTGGTATGTGCCCTATGTTACCAAACTAGCACTATGAACCAAGAGATAGTGTCAGTAGGCTTGAAGACACCTTGAGATATTTTTTATAAAGATTCCTCTCTCAAAAAAAAAAAAAAAAACACCTGAAGAGAAAAACCCTAAAGGGATGGAGACACAAGATAGCTCAGTGAATCACAAAAGTGTTAAATGGCCATAGAACATCGTCTTTGAGCTGGAGTGGAATAGAGTGTTTCAAATCCTGAACAGGGAATATCTTATCCTACAGCATTTACTTCTGGACCCCACTTGTTTTGTATAATGGTATCATAGGTAAATGCACATTGCATTTGTTATTATGTTTGGTATTGGTTTTGATAATAAGTCAGTTCGGCTTATTCCTTTTCCTCTGATGCATAGTGAAAAGTATATAGATTTTTCACATAAATACATACAGTACATCAATACTATTTAAATGGGATAGATTACTAAGTTTTGTCACTTGAAGAGAGTTTCTTTTATTGAATAAATGGACTCAATTAAAAAAAAGGCATTGGATTCCAAATTTATATCTGTCTGTATTTTTATTTTTTTAAAAAAAAGGCAAGCTCAGATCTTGGTGTTGGTGGATGTGGTCATATAATTGTCTTGGCCATAGCAGCGTACCATGGGCATTGTCTTATGACTTGGGGACAAAAAGGAAGGATTTGGGGATATCCAGAGGGTCAGCAGTAGGTGTGGAATCAGGTTGCTGGTTGTGACCCTTAACTGGAATTTTTGTTCCCTCCTATCTAAAGACCCTCCCTTGTAGGACTAGAACCAAGCAGGTAGCCAGTACGTCTCACTAAACCTCCCACTCCAATGACCAAGGGAACCGCCAGCTTTTTAATGCCTTACAAAAGGCTTAACAGGACTGGGTTAATCCAGATCTCTAGTGATGGAAGTTAGCCCAGAGAAAGAAATATTAAAAAGGGCAGAAAATATATATTTTTCCTCAAAAGGACTTTTTAAAACCAAACCTGGCCCCAAATCTATCTCTCTGCCCCAAGCAAGAGCTAGGCCCATACAAATGCAGATGTAAAACCATCAGAAAGTTGGAGCCAGAGCAATCAAGAAGACAAAAGAGAAGATCTGCATACCCCACCCAAACTCTAGGAGTCATCCCCATCACCTGGGAAGCAGGATATATAATAGAATTAAACCACAGATATCAAGGCCTAGACAAACACTCAGAAACAGCCTCAAGGTTCATGCCACAGGAACAGGAAACTATTCCAAACAAAAGGCTAGAGGGAGTATAAAAACCTACTGCCCATGTGCTCAATCTCTCTCTCCTTCTCTCCTCTGCACTTTCCTGAAGAACCATCTTTCTGCAATAAACTTAACCTTCTTCCCAAAGCAGTCACCATGTTTGCTTATTTATTCCCGGCTTGGATGAACCAGGATGAAGACTTTACTTCTAACACTAGGGAGCTGCTATTCCATAGGGCAGGTTCTACCTAATTACAGATAGTCTTCACCTTCTCACCATAATTGATACTGGAACTTCCATTGCTAAGTGAAGCAGTTAAGTTGTTAAGCAAATTCGGCTTCCCTTGTTGACTTTGCTTGTTAGAAGTGCCTGGGAAAGTCACAAATGGTGATCACATGGCCCAGGACACTGCAAATGTCACAAATACATAAATTAAATGAATGGTGGTAAGTTGCAATGAAGAAGAATAAAAGTAGAGAGATTAACATAGAAGAAAGACAGAGAAATTCAAATGCATACCCATGGTTGAGGCATGTCTACTTGCACTTCTAAGCTTGGTTCTGTACATGTCATGTTGAGTAGTAAAGTCAATTCACTTTTACTTGTCCTACAATGAAAAAGGAATCTCTGCAAGCAGATTTTTTTTTCCTGAGGTTTGAGGTGTACATACCCCATTGGTAGGACCTCTTCCTTCTGGGTATGTTCTTTCTTTTTCATTACACAAACTTGAAATCACTGTGGCACAAAAGGCAAATTAAGCAGCTTGTCTGGAAGTTTACTGATTTCTGCTGTCAGTTGGAGGGAGCACTTGTGACTTCAATCCAGTTGGGCAAAGCTTGTACTGTATTAAGACTAACCAAATGGAACAAAGCAATGTACATTTTCAAAATATTAACTATTTATCCTGACAAAGGTAAAAGTTTAGAACCATATCATGCCTACTCTAAAACGGAAAACACATCCGTCATATTGGTGAAGAATAAATAGATTTATAGTTACCGGTATATATTAGCAAGCAATCTGCCTATCTAGCTGCATTTTTTCCCGATGTATAAGACTATCCAAGTCTTGATTGCAGGAGTGTCTCAGCAGCTAATGGGGACCTTCTACATTTACTGCATTGATCCAGGCTCTTTTTGGACTACTTTTTAACCTTATCATGAATTCTGGAAAAAAAAAGTGTTATAAAATTATTATCACTCTAAAATTGGGGAGGGAGTTTGAAGATAGTCATAATTAAACACATCTTTTTGCTTCTCTATATACAATGTGATGATGTTAAAATCTCCCGCTCTTCTCCAAACTGCTCTCAGACACTGAGAGATCAGAGGTACATGAAAATGAGATATAGGTAGTCTTCAACTTACAACCACAATTGAGCCCCAAATTTCCGTTGCTAAGCGATACAGTTGTTTAATGACTTTTACCCATTTTACAAATTTTCTTGTCATAGTTATTAAATCATTGAATCATTGCAGTTATTGAATCATTGCAGTTGTTCAGTTAGTAAGACAGTTGTTAAGTGAATCTGACTTCCCCATTGGCTTTGTTTGTCAGAAGACTGCAAAACGGGGGTCACATGAACCAGTTGCCAAGCATCTGAATTTTGATCACGTGACCACAGGGATGCTGCAACAGTTGTAAGTGTGAAAAACGGTTCCTTTTTTCAGTGCTGTTCCAACTTTTAATGGTCACTAAACGAATAGTTATAAATTGAGGACTACCTGTACTACACATTGTGCCAAGCAGTTGATTTTTCTTGAAGTAGGAAACTTTTCTCTACATACACAGGTCAAGATGGATGCACAGTCTTTAAATGGATAGGAACAATGTTGGGAAACATATATTGAAGATATACTGTATGTTTCCTAACTCATATATCATACCCAATAAACATAAGCATAATAAAGATGGCTCAAGACTTTTTTAATCTCTGATCTTTGTTTCCAGATTGACACCATGGAAATTATGAGGCATCCTGAGGAAACTACCAACATGAAGAGACAAACTGTGGCTTCCTATTTCAGGGTAGGGAATTTAAATTATACTACTATTAATTTCACTGCTTTCCCAACATCTCATTTAAATAATATTGGCAGTATGCCTGGCACTGTGCTGAACATACATAAGCCCTACCAGAAGGAATTCCTTGAGATGGACAAGGCAGGGATGAATGAACATGTCAGCAAATGGCTTAATTATTTTAGTAAAATTGAGGAGTGACCGAGGTCAAAGGAAAACTCTAAAGGTAAGGCTTAACTGGGTAAGAAGAAGGCAGATTTTAAAAGGGTTTCAAACATATTTATGAGTCTGTTATATCTTGTTAGAATATAATAGATAGGGAAAGGATGCCTAGATTTTCATTCCCTTCAAAGAAAATAGTGCTCTTGTGCTATATTTTATCATGCTTTACTTTCCTTAGTATTCTCTGATGGATCTGTTATCTAAAATGGTGATTGGGCAACCTCACTTTGTTCGCTGTATTAAGCCCAATGATGATCGAGAGGCATTGAAATTTTCTCAAGAAAGAGTCTTAGTGCAGCTACGTTATACTGGCATTTTAGAGACTGTCAACATACGTCAGCAAGGATATTCTCATCGCATTCATTTTGATGAGTTTGTAAAAAGGTAAGCTATTCATGCTTTATACTAAAGAATTACCTTTAAACATGTCTTTTAGTAGAATTGGAGGCTAAATTGTTCAGAGCCAGTTCACAATTCCTAGATTATAGTAATTCAGAAAACAGACAGGGATAGAATTATGTGGCTATGGTACCATATGTATCATAGTTATATGGCTGCGCATCCCACAAAAAATGTGAATTGGGGCAGCAGATATGCAGTTAAGAGAAGATAACATTTAAAAAAATATTTTCTTCTTCTTTTACAATGTTGAAAAGTTATAGTTTTAGGAAGTTTTGATTAAAAAACAAAAGAAAAAATCTACATTTGATAATTCCACAAATGGCAAGACACAAATATTGGAAAACAGGGGGCAAAATTGGTAAAAAAAAAAAAATCAGGACAGGTTAGATTTATCAGTTGTATGATGTGCTTTGAGTTTTGTCTTTTACTAGAACATTTGGCAGATTTGTTACCAAGATTTTCCCCAGTATGTGGAGAGTATATTGATCAGTTAAAAGGTAACATCTTCTTTGAATTGAGTAAATCTCCTGGTGAGTTTATGGAGGCATCCATGTAGTTTTCCTGGATAGTAGAGAATATTAGAGAATAGATTTCCACTGCCTTCTAGGATAACTTCTCAAATTATCCCATTAGTTCCATGAAGGTTTTCCATTGAACTATTAATTAGGTTCATTTCTACTTTTTCTGAAAAATAATTGGTATGGCATATAAAATGGAGAAAGAAAAAAATAAGCTTAGCAGAAACCAAATAAACAGAATAGGGGAAGGGGGAAAGCAAAGAAAAAATTATACACAAAGACATTTTTTAAACAACAGGTTAAATCTTAACTACCTTAGCAGTATCCCTGAGACTTTTCTCTGTTTCATATGAAATAGCTGAGAGCAAATATATTTCATCAATCCAAGATTTAAAATAAGTAGTTACAGATCCTACAGTTTCCACTGAAGGAAAACCATTTTTAGCTGCAAATCATGCATAATAAATCCAGAGTTTTTCATACATGGTTATATTCCAAATTTGTGGTATAAAAATTACCTTACAGTAGCATTCTTGAATTTTCCTTTACTTCCTAGTCCATAACTTATGAATATTAAGGTAAAAGGAAACAATCATGGAGCAACCCAATGTCCCCTCCACTAGATCATAGGTTGAGATTGACATCTACCTCTTAATAAACATCTTCTAAGGTATCCAATACACTAAGGAAAATGCTTTGTTGATTTGGATATAATTAAAGATTAAAAGTGCATATTTAACATTCTTTAAAACCTTAACTCATTGATATGACAGGATATTGCAACTTCTTGTTCCAATTTTCATGCCAATAACTGCATCTATCTTGATAATACTCTTCAACCAATCAGTTTAACCACAAACTTGAAGACCTATTTAATTACCAAGGGCAGATAAAGTCAGGCAGATAGTGTCATCTGCAGAGAGTTTGATGGGTCAGAAGATAGATAATTGAATGACTCCTCAAGAGACATTCAATGATAATGATCTAGAGGCCATCCAACAGTACAATAATATATTTACAGACCAACTATAAGCCTCAGTACATTGGCTGGTAAAGGTTATGAGGTGAAAGAAGCATCTCTTTGGCAACAGGAATTCTTCCAGCTCACAGGTAATGCTATTTAGGTTTAGAGATAATGCCTGTGTCAGTTGATGTTCCCAAGACATAACATTTCAGGTTTGAGGCATACCGTAGATAGTTTTGGACCTTTTAGTTCTAAAGATTTTTGGATCTCTGAGAGAACTTGGGGGTCAGGTCTCCAGTTACATTAGTAGCTCTAACATGCTTAGTTCCTTCCATTGAATGCCAGAATTTTTTAATTAAAAAAAATTATAAAAGCAGCTGCAAATTGCTAGGGAAAAATAGATATTCCCACTCACTTGTTCTTACATGGCCCTTTTTACATTTCAACTGGGTGGATTCATTTAGATGTAATACATAGACCAAATTTATGGTATATGCATACATATGAATAGTCATAATTTGACATTCTGTCTACTGCTCATGATAGCATATATGATTTATGTGCAACAATTTGGGGTTAGCCTAAAGGATAATAGCTGGGTCATAGTTATCCAATGGGCTTCTGGTTGAGTTAGACTTAAAAACAGGTATTTTTTTATTCCATTCTAACATGACATTCATTTTAACTCTTGCTATTGAGTTAACCAGCTATTGAAATCTGTTTTATGCTATTGCTATTTAATGTCTGTGACCTGCTTTTAATTTTAAATAATTGTGTATTTTATTTTATTTTTCCTTTAGAAAATGTGAAATATACACATGGAATCATTTCTATGATTTACAATCGTTTTTATGTTGAATTTTGCTTCTGTTACATATGCTTAAGTATAAGGAATATATAAAAACATTTCAGAAAAACAGGCCCAGACACTAAATGCAATGGCACTTCATCCTTTTTTGTTAAATAGGCAAGTATAAATAAGAGTTTTGAAATGTCAGTAAAACTAAGGATATCAAAGATTTTTCTAAGCCAATGACTTTATATTTTGATCCATTTTTGTAACTTACCAACAAAATAAATGAAACATTTCCCCCTTGATGTTACTTAATGAATAAGCACATTTCTTACGAATAGGCAAACTCCTTATCTCTAGTAGCTGCTGTTTTGTAAACCCTTAGCAGGAAAGATGAGTACAGAGTACTCAGACAGGAAATAGACAGGCTGAGGTAAATAAAAGCTAAACTTTTGTTTGATGCTTTGCCTGTCTCGTTTTTATGTGTTATGGGGCTATTTTATGTGGCAAGCCTGGAACTTACTTTAGAAACACAAATTTTAATTTCTACAAATTCTCTTAGCCAGTTATCCGCAAAATCCTTAGAATAAAATTAAACATGTATTTGGGCTCAATCTTGGCACTTCCTTTCAATGACATGTGTCAGTCTTGGAAAGCTTGGTTTTTCCAAAGACATGGTGTACCTGAGCATATTCGAGTATAGTTTATATAATGACTAAGTACCTGAAAAGTTTGTGTAGTGGTTATCAGACTAAAAACTGGTAGACTGTAAGTTCTAGTCTTGCCTTAGACACAAAGTCAGATGGGTGACTTTGAGTTAGTCTCTTTCTCTCAGTCTTAAGAAGGAAGCAAATTAGGGAAACCACTTCTAAAAAAAACTTGCCAAGAAAACTTCAGGGACTTGTCCAGGCAATCTCCAAGAATTGAACAGAAGAAAAAAAAAATACCTTGAGATTTAACATTATCTTAAGACTTCCTAGTCATCCAGTTAGACTTCTTGTTGCTTTACTATTTGATGGAACAAGATGACAGTTGCAGGGAACAAGTGTTGTGGGGGTGGGGCTGCAAGTGCATTGTGATCTTCTCCATACCCTTAAACTTATCTGACGACCTCAAGTCTGGTAGAAGATACCACCCATAGATTTGAAGCAAGAGTCAACTGCCATGGCAATCAGCAATCTTAAATCTTAAGCTGCTCAGAGTCTTTTGAGACAGTAGAGATGGGCAGTATAAAAAATTAACAAATAAATGAATAAAATCCTTAAATGGAACAGGAAATTTACTGGCTTCTCTTTTGTCTCAGACAGCAGAGTGTCTTGGACTGAGCAAACTTTTCCCCTTTATCCATGATAAAGCATCATAGATGAAATTCTGAAAGATCAGTTCCATGAATTTGTAAATTAGACATGTGATTCAGAAGCCATTCATTTTGGTTCGATGTTTTGATCTATAACTAGTTTTCTATAAACCACTTAGCATAATGTATGTAAATACAGTGCCTACAATTGCATTATGCAAAATAATAGGGAACAGCTCAGAAATCAAAACATACAGTTACATGGAGAGTCCTGTGACATTCTAAATCAGTGGTTCTCAACCTTTTTAATGCCGCGACCCCCAACCGGTCGTAAGTCGAGGACTACTCAACCGGTCGTAAGTCGAGGACTACTCAACTGGTGCAGCACCGTTTGCAGAATGGGACTTTTGGCGGGCTCAGCAGGTCAGAGACAGCCTGGACAATTCCTATTGGCTTTTGAAAGCCAATAGAATTAGACTCTATTCAAGAGAGTCTATTCTATTGGCTTTCAAAAGCCAATAGAATAAAAGGGAGTAGCACAGCTAAGGAAAAGGGGGAAAAATGGCGGACTGCGTTGTTTGGCGACCCCCGTGAAATGGTCGTTCGACCCCAAATGGGGTTCTGACCCACAGGTTGAGAACCACTGTTCTAAAGACTTTTAAAATTTATTATGGCTACATTTGTCTGTACTGGAATTGATTTAAAATGTATGCAATTATGGTCTGCTGCCCAGAATGTTCCAGCAAAAAGTTCTTGGTCAGCCTACCATAGATCTTCTTGCTACTTCTGCTATGGAATTCCCCTCTGTATGTTAACTGCCAGAAATTTGCTGCAGAAACACAGTAGGTGAGGATGTATTGCCTTTATTTATTCAATTTATATAGCTGCACATTCTCATACACCGGACAGCTTGTAATGTGTACACTTTGAGAGGAAGCCACTAAATTTCATTTTTAATGTGTGCCATTGTGCCCATAGGAAAAAATGACAATGAAGGTTATCTAATCTAATCTAATTAGTATATTGTGTCACTCTTGGATATTGAATGTCTGTCATTATTATAAAGGGCCATCAATTTGAAATTTGGAAAGGTAGCAACAAGTTTGAGAGACGCTATTTTCTAAAGAATATAATAAATTCTGTGAATCTCTTTAAGTGAGGACCAGGTAGCTTAAATGTTCTTTTGGAGTCATTAACATGAATATAACTGAGCAATGAACAATGGTCACATAGTTTTTGTTTAATGTTGTTAGACAAGAATAATGAAGATAAGCTGTGCCCATATTTTACAATTCTTTATTTGTAGCTGTTCCTAAGGCATTATTCTCAAAGAAAGGATTGTTACATCATTTTTTCTAAATGCACTTATCATATTAAAGAATAAAACCCATTGCCACTTATCTTTGCATAAATTCATGTAGGATAGTGGATTAAATCATCCATTCCTACCCAGTTCAACATAATTTATATATTTTTTCTACAGGGGTAATGTATGTTCAGCTAAATATGCAAATAGCCTTCCTTCCTTCCTTTCTTTTTCCAATGCACAAATATTATTTTGTAAATGGAAACACCAACTACAGAAAATGAAAACATTTTTGCACCAGCATCATATTTTCAGAAGCAGTTTGTTATGCATTAGATCCCTATTTCTTGTTTCATTTTGGTGAAAATGGAAATAGAAGCACTTAGATTTACATTCCTCCCTTTATTTGTTAATGCTAATGAGACTCATACAAGTGCATCAGGACAAGTCCCACAGCTTTGATCTTGGCTTAAATTTCCCTGGCTTGTGAAATCTCTCAGAAGGGCCATTTATTATAGAACTGAGTGCATATCTTCTGCTGAATTACACTATTCATATGCAAGCAAGTATGTTAAGAGAACATTTACATGATGACAGGTCCATGCAATGTGCTGGGGGAGGGGGGCAAGGAGCAGTGCTATGGGAGGCTGCTGAAGATTCAAGATTTGTGGAGTAGGATAAAGTGATGAGGAGAAGACATGGTATACCATCATTAGTTGTGGGAGTGCTAATAATTATATAATATCAACATAACCTTTTACAAAGGATAAAATAAATACTGTTATTTATTCTACTTCCTTGTATCAAAGCAAACTTGTATTGTGCTTTTTAATATAACTATTATTTCTTCATAAATTTATTTATTTAATTAAATAATTAAAAATAAAGTGAAGAACTTAGGGCATCTGTAATATAATCATTGAACACTAAATGATGACTCTTCAAATAGGAAGGGTATACATCTTATTTTACAGAAGATGATGTTAGTACAAAGGACTGTCAGAAAAATGGTTTCTTTGGGGAAAATACTTGGTCCAAGTCTGATTTAATCTCAAAGATTAAATTAAAGATTAAAGAACCAAAGCTTTAATTTTGTCTGAACAATTTTGTTTGAACAATAGTCTGAACTGGTACACTGCTCAGGTGATCAGTGTCATGGAACTATTATACTACTGCATAATTTTTCTAAAAGTGTATGTATGCATATAAAGTACCAAATGCATATATTATTAAAATGTGCCTTTATCATTCTTCTTTAGATATAGGAATTTGGACTTTTTAAGACAATCCCTGTTTCATAAGGATCTTGCTCTTTACTTATTCATTTTTGCTAACTTTCGATAGGATATTACATAGCTATGTTTTAGCAATCCAGATATCTTGATTTAGTGAATATTATCTAGAAGCTGGGAAAATGTTTGGCTTCTATAGACCTACTCCCTTGTTTTATTAAATATGCTTCTTATTTGTGAAATAATTGCTGCCATAACCACAATTTTATTTATTATTTTATGTGTGTGTATGTGTGTGTGTGTGTGTGTGTGTATGTGTGGCAATCTTACAAAAAGCAGGTTTCACAAGATTACAAGGGTGGAAATGAAAACATATATAAGTATCTAAGGCAGGGGTCCCTAACCCCCAGGCTGCGGCCCACTACTGGGCCTTCAGTCATTCGGAATTGGGCCACAGAATGGCGAGCAAGTGCTATCCCGACTTGCATGAGCAGCAGGTGAGCATGTGCATGCGTGCTCCATTTGCGTGGGCGGCAGGAGCATGTGCCTACTGCTTGTGCAAATGGAGCACTCATGCATACGCACTTGCCCACTGCTCATGCAGAACCATCCCCTCTCTTCCTCCATTCCCCGCCAATCTGCAAAGCCAGAAAATTTGGGGAACTCTGATCTAAGGAACAGATTAAAATCAATTTTAGATGATATTTTAAAAGTCTGGGATAATATAGGTGCCCCAAAAGCAAACCAAGCCAGTTTTTCCAAGGACAGGCTTCTAGAGACATTTGATAAGGTCTTCTTGCTAGTTACTGTCTGCCAAATTTATTTTAAAGGAGGAGGAATAAGACAGATAGAGAAAATCTTAAATGTACTTAATATATGAATATGTACACATAAAATTATATTTTAGCTGTCCATAATCATAGTATAGTACCATGATTGAAAAAATAGGATTTATTTTGCAGTACATTCTTAAGCTATGTATAATTAAGGGATATTACTTTATTCTGGCCATCTGGTGGTCTTTAGGATGGGAACTGTTGTGTCCTGAGCCTGCACAAGCAGGCTCGGGATGTTGCAATGGTCCCGGGCATTCCAGAAGCTGCCCGGGACCAGACTGAGTGGCGTCAGCCTTGCGCGCATGTGCAAGGCGCAAAAGCGCTCTGATTGTTGCCATTGTGTCCGGGGATCTGGTCATATAAAAAGAGGCCTGCATGCCTTTACTCGTTGTTGGTGTTTTGGCTGAAAACGAAATCAAGAGCTGTTTAATGCAAGATGTGTCTTCATCATTCGCCATTGTTCAAGGGACTTAACAGGAACTGTAATGTATTTGGTGGTGATGGAAAGCTTCTCCAACACACTAGAGATCTGAGTAATAAGGAATAGAAATTACGTTTGATAAAAAAATCTATATATACCTTATTCCCAGTAAACATACATACATCCATGCGTGTGTGCGAGAGAGTGAGTGTATGACCATGATTTCTGGAAGATTCTGTGAATCATGTTTTAATAAACATGCAAATTGTCAGTAACGTTCTCTTTCTCAATCTTTTTCAAAAACTATCCACTCTATTATTGTTCCTTTAAAACAGTATGTAAAATATTTTGCTTTCACACTGGGAATTACCAGGTTTTCTTTTGTTTTGTTTTTTAGTTTCATGTTACTTTGTAGAAAACATTCTAATCCTATAATAGTGTCTTTGAGACATCCAGTTGATTCTGTATTTAGTAAAACACTCTCAGTTTGATTATTCTTCCACCAATTAACGTATCACATGGATTATGGTATGATGCACAAGACAGAATGGTATCTTTAGAAAGAGACACACAGCTGGTTGCTGCAAAAAAAAGTGTTTCAAAGTTTTGTAAACTCAAAAACAATGAAGAGCTTATGACATGCTCAAGCATAATACTCCTCAACCTTCAACTATAATGGAGCCTGCCCATTATGGTTGTAATTCATGGCAGTCATTAAGCAGGGAGCCCAAGTGATCACCTTGCTTAATGACCATAATCCCTGCTCTCACTGTTGCATCATCAAGCAGAGCATGGAGTGCCTCAGGGGTGATAGAAGCCCTGGAAGCCCTAGCACAGAGCCAGGCCCACACTGCAACTACCTCCCCAACTCACAGGTGACCTGCCTGGGCTTCCCAGGGCCACTCCCAGTCCCTGAGGAACCTGTGCTCTGCTTCCACTCTACTGGGGCCCTGCAGGCCTGTTTCCTGCCCTGCTGGGGCCTTGCAAGTCTTGGGCCCACACCCTCCTCCCCAACCTACATCGTGGCTGGGTCCATTTCTCCTTTGAAAAGCAGGTGAGCCACCATGCCGTCTTTTCTACATTGAGGCCGTGTGGCAACGTACCTGAAGCAGGCCCCATTTTGGGACCAGTCACAATTCAATTATACTGTACTATACAAGGAGACCGAAGGGTGGATTGGCCGGCTCTCTTTCCAAGGGCAGAATCTTTTTTGCCTTTGATTGCATTCTTGCTCTCTCCTCTGCTTCCCTTCCCTCACCAATAACTTCTATGTAATGAAGATGAATGTGGAAGTCATTTTTACTGTAAACTAATTGTAGTCTTGACACACATTGAGTGAATCTGGGCTCAGTTATCTTTCAGTGTCACCAATCTGCTCTAAAACAAAAAAGCAATAGTACCTGAAATATTGATGTATTAATGCTTTAAATGAACATCAGCTTTAAAGCTGGTGAAGAAAGAATGTTATTAAGTAACTTGGGGGATCCCCATTAAATTTAGCAAGTTGATGTTCCCAACATTACCTTAGAATTTATCAAGATTTTAAACACATGCTTTTTTAAGGGAAAAAAAACCCCTTGCCCTTAGCTTTTAATGTCTCCAATAGAATTTCAAAATAAATGAAATTTATTGGAATCCTGAAATTAGTTAAGCCTAAATATGTATCATATGACAAACATATATAATGGCATTCTGCTGCTTTAAATATACATAAACCACTTTTACAAAGTCAAGGGAAGTGAATGAAGATGAGTTGGCTGTGAGGATACATTTTAAGTTTTATTGGTGTGGTAAGGTTTAGATTTAATAGGAGCACTGACCCTTTCTAATCCAATTAAAATGCCCCATCCCAAAAGGCTTATCAAGCTGCCTGTTTTTTTTATGGCTCTTACCGTAGACATATTCCATTTGGCAGGTGATTTTATGGCATGGGGACATATGTTTGGGTAGTGTACATATACAATATAGTGAGAGAGCCAGTTTGGTGTAGTAGTTAAGGTACCAGGATAAAAACCAGGAGCATGAATCCTGCTTTAGAGTAACCTGGCTGGATGACCTTGGGCCAGTCACTTTCTCTCAACCCTAACAAGGAGTCAATGACTAACCATTTCTGAAATACCTTGCCAAGAAAACTGCATGAACTAGTCCAGGCAATTGCTCTGATTCATGAAATCCCAATCCATAATATTTGCAGGATTTTCTGTGCCATAGTAAACAATTTGCTTTTTGAGATTTGATCTTGGTTATCTTTTATATTTCTGTAGATATTATTATATTGCTTTCAAAGCACATGAGAACCCTTCTCCAAGCAAAGAAAACTGTATTGCTATTCTTCAAAAGGCCAAGTTAGACAAGTGGGCTCTTGGGAAAACAAAGGTAAGATAAATTCCATTCCAAATCTCTTGGAGCAGAAGATACAATCATAATGAAAGTCCTGTAATATTTAGCAGTGCTGGACAAGGTATTCAAACTAATGTTATTTTTAAAAACCATTCTTTACAAACTATGTCTAAAAGCTGATTATACTATACTTCTTGCAGTATAGTCCCTTCACTTAAAAGGCATGGGACATTGCTTTTCAAAAGATATGGACATATACCCTCATAAGAAAATGGAATTGTATATTGTGGTCCATTGGCATTCTTGAGGATATATCAGTCTTGAAGAATTTCCATCCCTTTTTATGTGAGAAATACTTGAGAAAAAATAGTCTTTCTGGGATGCTAACCCTTGAAATAAGGGACATTCTCAGATGCAATTAGCCATGTGACATAAGGGTCATTGCTATAAACAAGAGCCAATTGGTAGACCTGTTTATATCTCAGCAGAATTTAATGTCACATCTAAGAGTTCATTCAACCTGCTTGCTCTGGCATGGATGCTCCACCTATCCTGTGATGAAGACATGTCCTCATGACATCACCTCTATCTCATCATGAAATGGCTGCTAAGACAGTGTGGTCTTAAATGTTTTTGTGTAGAGTGATGTTTGCATCTGGTATTGATATAAAACATTCAATATTCTAATGAGAATATTTACGATCAAACAGTATATGTACATTTATTTTAAAGAGACATTTCTTTAAATTCATATTTTTACATGAATGTGAAAAACTGTGCATCAGGTGGCAGCATTTGTATGGTGAAGTTAAATGACTAAAAGAAAGGACAAAACTGAGATTTTGAAAAATAAATAAATCTTTAGACAGCTTTCTGAAAAATAAGGACTGTTCTTTATAATAAAGGACATGTGGTCACTATATCTAAGAGATGAAAATTCTATGTAGTCCAGCATCTCTTTTCCCAAGTACATTTGGGGAATCAATAAAGGAGAACAAATGGCACCAGGTGTTTCTCTTCTACCTGTGCCCAAGCAATGAATGTCCACGGATATGCTACCTTTGGACAATGAGCTCCATTTGACATTCATGACCAATATCCAGTAATAGTACAGTGCCACTTGTAAAAATGATTTAAGCCTGTGACTTTCCAGATTCCTTGAAGCTTAGGTAAGATGTTTCAAATAACCTTAAAGCATCCTGAAATAATTCCAGCCTATGGCTATTGCCTTCCCTATTTGAATTTCATGATTTTGTTTTGTTTTGTTTTGTTCTGAAGTGATATATGCTTACCTTGGATCTTCTGAGCATAAGTGTTGAATTCATTTCAATTTTTTGAAGCTTTGCAGTCTCTGCCCAAAGTATTGCATTATGTACTATGCTAGAGCCTGGGCAACAAATCAACCTATTATCACTTCATGCAAATGTCTATGCTACATCCTAAAGATATTTTTCCATGAAGAATTACCTCAGTGGCAATCTTGACTGACAAAATGGTTTTATATTCCACTTGCTTTCTGGATTGGGATCTAAATTTAGATTTGATATTGATTGATTTATTATGTGCCATCAAGCAACCACATAGATCACAGGTGTCAAACTTGATCGAGTCACGTGATGTATTATAATGTTTTTTGCCTTTACAGAGCTAGGGTGGGTGTGGCCTGCGTGTGACGCATCCAGCCCACAGCCTGCCATTTTGACACCCCTGACATAGATAGATTTTCTCCAAGACATCTATCTCTAACTTATTCTTTGAAGTTTCCCATTGCTGTAGTCATTGCCATTGTAACGGAGGCCTTGCTGCTGGTCATCCTCTTCTTTTTCTTTTCACCTTTCCCAGCATCACAGATTTTTTCAGAGAGTTAGGTCTTTGCATAATGTGTCCAAAGTAAAATAATTGGAGCATGGTCATTTGTTCCTCAGGGGAGAACTATGGGTTGATTGGTTCAATGATTCATCGGTTTGTTTTTTTGACTGTCCTCAGAATTCTTAAAGAATTCTTAAATTAGAGTCTTCTTTAATACCAAAGTTCAAAGGCATAAATACTGTTCCTATACTGCTTCTTTCAAGGCCAATTTTTGCTTCTATAAAGTGTCATAGGAAATACTGTGGCTTGCATTTTTGACCTTAGAAAGACTAAATAATAATAATTAATTCCACTACACACATGTGTGTGTGCGCACACACACACACACACACACACAAACACACAGAACATATTGGTCAATTCAAGGCATCTAACATAATCAATCCTTCTGTCTTCTATTTTCCCCATAACAACAACTGTGTGAGGTGGTTGGGCTGAAAGACAGTAACTGGCCCAAAGTCACCCAGCCATCTTTTATGCCTAAAGCAGGATTTGAAGTCACAGTCATCTGTTTCCTAGGCCAGCACTTTTACCATTACACCATGCTGACTCACATCCATTTCATCTTATGCATTTTGAGGACATGGGCACTAGGTTTGCCAAATCCAGTTCTGAGCTGAGCTAAGGAACAACATATTTTCCATTAGAAAGAACAGTTACTATTTTTTTTTTCAAAATGCTCCTCTAATGTTGCTTGGAAAGCTGCCACCATTTTGATAGATCAGACCAATCCTCCTCTTCTTATCACACTGTAGTACAGACCTATCTTTGTGAATTAATTTGGTCTACTGATCTATCAGATAATGTGATGTTGTTCTTTTGTTTCAGGTTTTCCTGAAATACTATCATGTTGAACAACTGAACTTATATCTGCGTGAAGTTATGGGCAGGGTGGTGATAATGCAGGCTTATACCAAAGGCTGGCTTGGAGCGAAAAGGTACAAAAAACTCAAACAGAAAAGAACCAACAGCGCTATTACCATTCAGTCAGGTAAATATTGTGGATTTTCTATATCACTGAGGATTCCAGAGTTTCAAACTGTTAAATTGCAAATAAAGTGTCTCTTTGTTTTTTTAATACAGGTAGTCCTCCATTTACAACCGGTCACTAAGCAACCAGTTGAAATTACAATGAACCCTGAAACAGTACTTACAGCCTGGATTTGAAGTTCCAATGGCCAATTTCCCTCCCCCTGCAATCATGTGACCACATTTTGGATGCCAAGCAACTGGCCCACATTTACGGCCATTTGCAGTGTCCTGTGGTCACATGAATACTGTGTCCAGTTCTGGCCGCCACAATACAGAAAAAGTTGTTGAGACCTGGAAAGTGTGCCAAGAGGAACAAAGATGATAAAGGGTCTGGTGGCTAAATTATATGACAAATGGCAGAGGGTTCTAGGTATGTCTAGCATATTGAAGAGAAGGATCAAAGGTGACAGGATACAGTAGCTGTCTTTCAGAACTTCAGGGGTTGTCACAAAAAAGAAAAAATATGTTTATTTTTTAGGACAACAGAGGGCAAGACAAAAAGTAAAGGGTGGAAGCTTGTCAAAGAGAGATGCAATCTAGAAGTAAGGAAAAAAATTAATCAATGGAATAGCCTTCTGGGGTTGTAGATGCTACATCACTGGAGGTTTTCAAAAACACACTGGACAACCATTTGACTGGGACAGTATAAGACCCTGTCTTGAGCAGGGGGTTGGACTAGAAGACCTCCAAGGTCCTTTCCAGCCCTATGATTCTATGATTCTATGAATACAATGTAAAGGTCGTGAAATTGAGTGTAGTTATATAATGACCCATTTAGCTATCATCCTGACTTACAACCATAATTGTGGGATCGATTGTGTTTGAATGTCAAGGACAACCTGTAGACTACAATCTACAACCTTTCTTCTGGAACTTTGGAAATGGATAGTAGGAGAGACAGGCATCCTTTCAGCCTGATGTTAGACCAGTTGGATAGATCTATAGGTCACCTGTTAGAAAGCCTGCTCATAAGCTTCCTGTTCAGTGCATGCATGTAATGTTTTTTCCTTGAGATAAATTGTTTGGAAACAAAACATTCATATTTGAATATATTTATGGTGCTAGAATGCTATAATCTTTGGGAACAAATGTTTATGAATATTTTTCATTCTGTCAACACTACATCTGATAGTAAGGGCAGTTCAGATAGACATAGGGCACTTTTATGGCTTATTGCAGATTCCTTGGGGCAGAAGTATAGTACAGAGTATCTAAATAGACTATTATGAGTAATGGTATCCATCTGTCTTATCCTTTGACCTCTTAATATATATTCCTGATATTGAAGTGGCTTGGCATTTGTAGGAAGATAGAGCTAGAAACCATTTAGCTGCTGCCTCTTATCTACTTCTTCAACAATTCAGCTTTATTGCTGCAATGTTTGATTTGTTCTAAATATACCGGTAGTTATATTCAGCAACTAATAACTACTCTTGCTTATTTCTCTGCTGGCAGGGCCAAGCCTAATGACAGAACATGCCATACAAAAAGTCCATAGTTACAGGGAAGGAGCTTCTGAGACAGATTCTGATCATTCAACAGGCTGCTCCACTGGGATAGTGCCTGGATGGGAAGGGGGTACAGATCAAATTATGGCACATTTCTCATTCTATAGCCTTTCCTTTAAGCCAGTATAATTCACAACACATGACTTTGTATTTTTAGCCTGGAGAGGATATGATACTCGTAGGAAGTTCAAGGATATAAGGAACAAAAGAATTGATGCTGCTATTCATATTCAAGCAGGTAATTAAAGCAATATTTTCACAGCTGACACCTATTTTACTGTGGGTGATTTCCCATGTCAGGGCTTGTGTCTGATAGGAATAATGTGCAGCCCAGACAAAAGGCTCTTAAGTTATGATCTGTTCAGACGACTGCTTTCACTCTAGTTGACAAGCAGTGGATTCAGACAGCCAAGGAAAGTGCTTAGTCTGACCACCATCTCCAGAGCCAGTTAATAATATAAAATCTATGTTTAATTGCACTGATGACCCAAAATGTTGTCCAGTACCAACATACTATAATGAATTCTGTTGTCGAATTGGAGGAATATGATAAATATTTAGAATACAGATAGTCCTCAACTTATAATCATTTGTTTAGTAACTGTTTGAAGTTACAGCAGAACTGAAAAAGGTGACTCACAACCAGTCCTTGCACTTATAACCATTGCCATATCCCCACAGTCACAAGATCAACATTTGGGTGTTTCACAATTGACATTGTTTTAGGATGGTTACAGCATCCTGGGATCATGTGATTGGCATTAGTGGTCTTCCTAGCTAGCTTTCAACATGCGAAATCAATGTGAGAAGCCGGATTCACTTTAATGTCTGCATTGATTCACTTAATTGCAAAACCCACATAACAACTGCTTTGTTTAGCAATAGAAATTTTGGGCCCAATTGTGGCATTAGTCCCAGACTACCTGTACTCTGTGCTGCATAGGATTCTCATTCTCTTATATGTTTTCTGCCATTAAAAAGAATAAAAACTGTAATGTAAAACTTAATGTAGATTTAATATAAATTTTAAAAGAAACAAAATGGAGCTGTGGTGCAATCTGGAATCCTTTGCATTATTGCCTTGTCCATGTGAATCTAACTAGGGCCAAAAGATCTGGGCAATAGAATTCTAGGCAATCATTAGAGAGTTTTCTGGATAGTTTCGCTGCTATTTAGTGATCATTCAGAGTTTTGCAGCCCAAACTGGATAGCCTTTCCCTCACAGTTCCAAAAGAAAATGTTGAAATTCAGTCTCCAGCCACCCAAAGCTTGGCGTCCATATTCTAGTGCTTCACCTCCATTCCATGCAGGCTATTCTGGAGCAAGAGTAATTTTTTTATGAATATTAATATGAACATAATTAAATCAGGAGAAGCCCACTGCTTTGTGACAGAATATGTGCTTTGCTTATAGAAAACAAGTCAGGCACCTTTTAATAAAAGAATAGAAGCGTTCATTTTTTAGGCTGAGCCATAACTTAATAGCAGCGCTGATGTTTTGCCTGCAGAAGATTTGTGGTTCAACCCCCAGAATGCCCAGTTAAAAGTAAGTAGTAATATGAGCTTTGTAAGTGTTTTAACTGAGATTCTGAGATTTGCCCATGAAAATGCAAATGATCTGGGCTATTATAGCCTGAGCTAATAAAAAGCAATTTCCTAATTTGAACTATTGGTATGAGAAAGAGAGCAGGCAACTTTGAACAGAGAAATGTTGCTTTGAACCTGGTGATAAAAAATGTCTGGAAGGATTAAATTAAGCATTAGCCAAATCGTAGGAGGTGATATGGGGGAAATCAACTTGGGAAATGGATGGAGAACCAAAATATGCTGAAGGAGGCAAAGTGCTTAATCCTTCCCCTCACAGTTGCCTTTGTACTCCAAAATGTCTGCCCAGCTGCTCTTATTTGCATAAGGAGGTTCAGTCTTTTTTCCTTTTGCGAGCAGTTGTTTGATACAGCAGGTGGAGGGAGTGAGATTAGGAAGAAATAAGAGGTTAGGAAAGGGTTAAGGGCTTTACTATTTTTTTCATCCTAAGGGCTTTACAGCCCTGTGCAGCCTTAAGCTGCTTGACTCCTGTGGGTAAACTGGCTAGAAACAAAGCCAGCTTCAGAAACCCCTTTTCTGAATTCAATTCCTTCCTCTACTTTGACTTCAGCGGTGGCCAGATGTTTAGATTGCATGTAATACAGCTACCAGCTGGTAGATTCCTCTGCTTCTTTACTCCTCCTATCCATGCCAGAAAAGCAAACACTAATCACTTTCTTTTTGTGGGTATATCTTCGATGACATGTCGTTTCCATTGATAGACCTTTTGTATGAACACTTTCTGATGACTCTAGAACCATTCTTCCTGTTGCTTTGGCTCAGAAGGAAAACTAAAAAAAAATCTGTCAGTTTCACTTGGTTACTTTTAATGTGTATTGGAAAAAGGTGGGGGAGCTTTTCTTCTTGATGGCTGGGACCCTTTGAGGACATCCTGTGTCAGAAACCCAAACTTGCACTGGGACAAGTGGTCGTATGATTCAGCCCTAAATTACTCCCTCTAGAATTTTTCTCTTTAAAAAGTTTTTTTTATAACCCTGTTCATGTCATATTTTGTCAAATTCTATTTCTAGAATATTTAAGTACTGCATTGTGCCTTTGTCCCTGAGGAGAAACCACAGTGGTATACAATATATACAAAGAAAAGTGACTACTGTTTTTGGAAGTCACTGGAAATTGCTCTAAGAAGTGAAGAGTGAACAGAAATTCTAAAGCAGCACTTCCAGGATTTGTAATAGAAGGCCTATGCTCTCCACCAGGCCCAGCCTGAAAAGACTTACATGTGGTGATTAAGAAAGGCTGCTCTCAGAGAAGACCTTTTTTTTTCATTTGAGTTAAATAGGAAACTCAAATTACCTAAGGAACTCAGTCAAATCATTGGTTATTCTAGTGTACCACTGTTAGTGGCTTTCCAGTGTTTCAGGAAGAATTTTTCTAGTCTTACTGGAGATGCCCAGGATTGAACTCAAACTGGTCTTCAAGAAAAGGATGTCTTCTACCACTGAACTATGACTCCCCCCCTCCCATGTATGCAATTTCTTTTTTCCTGTCTGGATCCCTATGCTAAGAATGATTCCAGACTGAATTAAGCTCATCACAGTAGAGGCTTGTTCACTGAATAAGCCCTTAGATGAGGGCTAGAAACCTAAAAAAAAATTCCAGTAGGAGCAACAGATGGTCCAATCATACCCAAAGTTGAGAGTGTACTGTCACATTGATTCATGCAGGTTTTAAAATGATGTTTTAATAAGGATTTTAGAGATTTGCACAAAATGATTTATGTATCAGAGGTATGTGTGATTTTATGTTTACACTCCTAGCAGTGCAATAAGTGCATTCCTTTTTTGGTTTTGTTTTAATATCAGAGAAACTTTCAATGTAGTTTTCCCTTTTTATCTTCTGTTTGTCTGGAAGAGCAGGCAAAAGATACTACAAGAAGAAGACACAGATAGTTTGAAGTTAGATGTCATAGCATCTGGGCATGTGTCTCCAAATGTGTCTTGATTGCATCTTGTTTTAACAGAGTGTCTCCTCCCATCAGTGCTTGATAAAGGAAACAGTAATTGATCCAATCTCAGCAAAAAGTCACATGAATTCTGAGAGCATGGCAGAGCCATAGTATAAGGCAGGGGTGTCAAACTGCCGGCCCACGGGCCGGACACGTCATCCAGAAGCCGCGCCCACCCCATTGCCGGCAATGGCAAAACCGTCCCAATATGTTGTGCGAAGTCACGTGACGTCGCGAGTTTGACATGTCTGGTATAAGGTATATATAGAATGTCTGGGGCAGTATCCCTTACAGTATAAATAAATGGAATATGTGGACTGCTGATGTATGTATACTTGCATCAGGACATAAGAATTCTAAAGACAAAGTTCTTTAAAAAGTATTTTTGGAGATTACTTTCTTATACAACTAATGAGATGCATTTGAAATTATTTCTTACCGTAATGTAAAATTGGCACACATGTACTCCAGTTTAGGACATTGATTTCTGTACAGGGAGATTAAACAAGAGGCCATAACATATAGACAGCATAAAGAAAGCATTAAATAGCTGCATATGAAATTCTATCAGTAATACTTTTATTCCAACCCATGTTATAAAGAGTTGTTTGTATTGCTTCTATGGGAGAATTCAAGTAGGGCATCAAATCCGTCTTCCTGAAAAAAGTCTGGTTGTACAGTGTCTATCATCCTATGCTTTTGAATCTCTCCACTAAAGTCTTTGTTCAAATGGTATTGGCCATTTTCAGAATTTTATTTCTCAAACAATACTGTATGTATCGCAATTGTTGTATTAACAATGTTTGATGCTATAGAAACCCTACCACCGAGCACTCATGAAAGACGCCTACAAAATATGATCAGCATTACAATAAAGCCTGAGGATGTTTGTTTCTTGGAAGAGTTTTGGTTTATTGCCAAAGCATTCAAAGAATCATCTAATGTAAAATAAGTTTCTTTAAAAAGAAGAAGTTTAAAAAGGGAGAAAGAAACCAGAGTGGGAGGAGAAAAGGTGGTCTTGAAAATTAGGAAGCCCTTGGCTTACATGTTTTTACACAGCTCACACTGAAATTTGTTTTCCTTTCATCTCTTTCCCAGTAAAAGCAGCAGTGAGGTTTATCCCTTTAGCTTCCTCAGAACTTCCTTTCAGAATTCCCAATCTATTACAGCACATTCACATACCAGAAACAAGATGCCTTTTCATGCTGTCAACCTTTTTCATCTGAAATGTAAATTAATTCTTGCCTTGACAGAGATCAAAGTAGGGGTATTAACCTTATTGGACCCTTTCTCCATCAGAATCTGTTCCAAAGACTGGGAGGCTGGTGCTGTAGGTGTCTGAGAGGAGAATGCAGCCTTCAGTGTTATCTATGGCCTACTTCCAGGCAGTCCTCTTGTCTACAAGTCACCATTTCAAAAGCAGTAGTTTCTTTTGTAAATGACCTTATCATTACTTTATACTGTGTGAAGGGAAGGGAGGGGGATGCTTTGCCTGAATAATTCTTCCAGGATTAGCCTGCTCATTTTAATTATTGGGCGGAGGAGGCTACATTCAGATTTCAGAATATTCTTTGAATGGTTTTGACAGCAAGAGATCGCGGGCCGGATAGAAAGTCTTGTTCAGGTTGTTTATTTTCCAGCAAGGCAGTCTTTAGAGATAGGCTGCATTTGCATTTTGAAAATAAATAGATTCTCAAATACACAAGTGGCTAGGCGAGCAGTTGAACAGACTCTGATAAAACGTGGAGGGAAAAAAGTAAATGTGTTCTAAGAAAAAAAGGCTTCAGTGTTAGCTGCCTTGGGGGCTCCACTGCAGAGTTGAAAGGTGGGATGGAAATATTTTAATAAATGTAGAAACCCAAAGTATGTGAGAAATAAGTTTATTGTTGAGTTGAGTTTGGAAAACTGATATTATAATTTGAAATTTAATTGGATTTTTTAAAGTTGTGAAATCAGATATGCCCCCAGGATAAATCATATGAATTCATCATTGCTTTAGCTTATGTACTGCTCAAATTTAGTGAAATATTTTTTCCTCTTTGTTAAAGCTAAGCAGTGGAAAAAATTCCTATTTCTCTTAAAATGAAAAAAAAAGAAGTTAAAAATAAACCTATACTCTATTTATTCTCTCCAGGTACCATATCATTATCGTGTCCCAATCTTTTTTTTTTTTTAAGTGCAGCTCATAGTAGCAAAAATATTGTTCTCTTTAGTTCAAAATTCTAATCAGGAAGATAAAGTCATCCAAATGCTTAATTCTCTTTGTTTCTCATCCCTAGTTGTTGCAATAATACTTTTACATTTTATATAGTACCAACCAACAAAGTGATAACTAAGAACCTGAAGTCAATGATAATCTCCCCCCCCCCATTATCTACACTTCTATAGGATTCCCATCTTGGTGTCTTCCAGATGTGTTAAATTAGCTGACAATTGTTCTGTTGACTATGAGATCTACAAACTACAAAGTTGCTTTACAATTTTTATAACTTTATGAGTTTCTATATCCATTTAAAGAATTTGAGAAATCTTTTAAGAGAGTTGAAAATACCCCAGCTCAGTTCATAAGGCAGTTTTTAAAATCTTTTATATTATTTTTAAGAATATTGATAGATTTTCCTAAAGCATTATATATTTGGCTTAGCTTTTTAAAACACATTAATGGTCTGTTGATTTTAGTTATGTTATTATTTCCAAAGATTTGATTCCTTCCCTTCATTTTTTAAAAAAACTTCTCTTTGATCAAATAATCTTTGAGGCATCTTATAAAAACTACAATAATAAAAGGATAAAATAGAAAGAAAAGAAGGCAAGTGATAGTAGCATAATAAGAGATGCAACTCTGCTTTATTAAAAGTTTTAACAAATGACATAAGTTTTACCTATTGCCTACAAATAGCTAACATTTTTATCACACGAATTAGTTTAGGGATTATGTTCCATTGTTAGAATGCAGCATCAGAAAAACAGGGTTTCTGTTGACTATTTGATATATGCTGGAGGGTGCCAAGAAGGCAGTTCTTATTCTCTAGTCACAATCTCAAAAACAGGATTTTAAATAGTCATCCAGAAATAAACTGTCAAGAACCCTTACTGTCTGAAGAAAATATGCATTAGAAGGAAATCAAGGCTGCCCCACTCAGAAATTGATCCTTAGGGCCTCTTGGAGTTGCCATCATCATTGCTTCCCATAAAGATGTGGGCCTGACCCCTTCAAATAAGAGTGCCCATGGTAGGAGATCAGAAAAATCAAGATAGTGACCACAATCATGAATTTGAAGCCCATCCCTTTTTTATGTGCAGTGCAATATCATTTTCACAAGACTTTGCCAACCCAGGGACTCTCAGTGCATAATTCTCTATTTATTCATTAAAGTTCCTGCTGTTTTATTTACCTTTCTCTATTAACTCCCTTCCCAATGTTGCATCATATAGATACTGAATAAGCATTCCCTCTACTTCTTCCGGCAAGTTATTAATAAAAATGAAAAATAAAGGACCCTGGACTAAATTTCGTTGCATACCACTAATGAGCAATAAATATATAATTTTTGAAATAGTTATGTATCCACTTAATTGTCATGTCATCTAGCCCCATGCTTAATTAGAAATTAGAAAGTCATGAAGTACTTTGTCATATCAAAATATAATATATATTCCATCATCTATTAAAGAAGTTAACTTGTCTTTTTAAAAAGGAGTAAGATTAGTCTCTATCAAGTCAGATGAATCCATGCTGATTTTTGGTAATTTTTACTCCATTGTTTTCAAAGTACGTAAAGACATTTTATTATTGTCTCTGAAATATCAACATAAAACTGGCTAGCCTATTTTATATCTCTTTGTTGAAGGGAATAAAGGAAAGCATTTTAGTTGTTCAGTCATCTTTTACCTACGGTATTTGTTCTTTCCAAAAATGATGTGTCTATATTACCTGGCCTATAGCTCAGTGGAACATTGTTTACTGCAAGGCAGAATGGGAAGATAAATGGCCCATTTGTTTCTATCAAATTTGAGCCACATTTTGTACAGCTGCTTTCAAAGACACAAGAACGTTGGAATAAACTCTGTATCAATGTTTAGGAACTGTGTTACTGTGGGGTCCTTGGTGCTCTCTGAGCTTGGTTGTTTTCTTGCAGACATTTCATCACACTGATGATTTTACCTAGTTTGGTAATGAAATGTCTGCAAAAAAACAACCAAGTCCAGAGAGCACCTAGGACCCCACAGTTCAACCCTGAGCTACACATATTCTTTTCTATGGGATCTGTGCTACAGTTTCCTTTTTTATGAGAAAGCTGTTCCTCAGCTAGAATTCAGTTTTGTGTCTGCTAATGCTTGTATGAGACTCTGCTGATTAAAATTTTGACTAAAGCTAGTTTTCTGGAAGAATCCTCAACCAAGTTAATTCTCACTGATAACTTAGTTTCTTCTTGAAAGAAGGGCCTAGTCTCAAATCTGAGTCAATGGAGCTCAATTCTTGACATATTGGGGCATGAAATTGTTTTATTTTATTATTTTATTTATTTTATTTTACTTTATTTCTTATTTTATGGTCCCTTTAAGTTACTTTTGACTCCTAGTGAGTGACTGGACAAGCCCGTGAAGTTTTCTTGACAAGGTGTTTTTGGAAGTGGTTTGTTCTTGCCTTTTTCCTAAGGCTTGAGAATAAGTGAGCGGCCCAAGGTCACCCAACTTGCTTCGTGTCTGAGGCTGGAACTCACCGTCTCCTGGTTTCTAGCTTGATGCCTTAACCACTACACCAAACTGGCTCTCCAATCAATATTAGCGAAATATTTTGAAAACACATTACATAGGAATTACTTTGCATCTGTATGAACACTAATAAAGATAAAAACCTTCCTGCAAAGAATCTTTGATGCCCAGGCATGTGAGGCTGAAGGTTTGTTCTCTGAACATTTCATTACCAGGTTGATTTCTGAACTTTTCATTACCAGGCTAGGTAACATCTTCAGTGGTGTTTAAGAGATGGCAGTGTCAAGTGACACACCCACACCTGAAGCTCTTATAAACAGAAGGACATTGACACTGGCATCCCCTAAACTTGTAGGGGACCTAATGGTCTCAGGATGCTTTGGAGTGGAATTGTCATTTATTTCCACAATTCCTTCAGCTCTATGGACAAGGGATTGTAGATGCTAAAGCTAAAAACCTCTGGTGAGCAGAAAGTTGGTTACTCCTATTCTATGTTTCTACAACTCCTGAAATATGAGTGATTGGAATTAGAGGTCATATCAGTGACTATTCTTAGCTCCAACATCACCTGCTAAAGCAGTGGTTCTCAATCTTTTTAATGCCGCGACCCCAACCAGTCGTAAGTCGAGGACTACCCAACCGGTCGTAAGTCGAGGACTTTCCCTGCCCGGGAGCGCCGCGCATGCGTGGCGTGGTGCCGCCCCCTGTGCCAGCCGATTAGACTCTATTCAAGAGAGTCTAATGTGCCAGCCAATTAGACTCTATTCAAGAGAGTCTATTCTATTGGCTTTCAAAAGCCAATAGAATAAAAGGGAGTAGCACAGTTGAGGAAAAGGGGGAAAAAATGGCGGACTGCGTTGTTTGGTGACCCCCGTGAAATGGTCACTCGACCCCAAATGGGGTCCCGACCCACAGGTTGAGAACCGCTGTGCTAAAGTGAAGCAGTGAAACACTTCATTACTTCTTAGGCTGGCTGTTTTAATAACTATTTTAAATATATATTTAATATCGTTGATGATACTATGTTTTTCTGCTGATACTTTGTGCTTTATAATATAGAGAGATAAGCGCTTAATTACTCAGTATTTAAATTCATGAATTTTCTAGAATTCTTTGAAGAAAAGGAAGGATGACAGTGTATTAAAATAAATAAAATAAAAATATTTGCCAAGCAGATGCTTAGGGTGAGTATCTTGTTAATACTCAAAATAAATGGTGATTCAGTTTTCTCCACAAAAATAGCTTGCTGACAAAATCTATCTGTAGCTATTCTCAGATCAGACCTTTGGCAATGCCATTCTTTGTAATGGTCAGTAAACTTTGTAAGATGCTGCAGAACTGAAACAAATCTGAATTTCTTTCTTTCTAGAGGTTGAACAAAGAGTATTTTGTATGTTGCAAAATATCAGATAATGCTGCTTCATTTTTAATCTTAGTTTTTGCTAATGCTTGTTTAGCTTTCAGAGGATATTTAACACGCAAAAATTATAGAAGATGGAAGAACAGCATTGACTATCAAACAGATGTGGAATCAGTGGGTTTTGTTTCCAATCTCAAATATGAAGAAAATGGGTAAGTTTTAATTATTCTGTTCAAAAAAAGAAAATACATAGAGGGAGATACTTTTTTCACTAAATCCTAGTTATGTTGTTGGCAAGACAACTCAGAGTAGGTCTTGAGCAACTATTCATCATCAGGAGCTACAATTAGATATTGTTTTTGAAAGATGTGTCTGTTCATGCAAATTTGTGAATATGATTTGTAGCATTCACATGTCAAGGGCTTAGTTTTATAGTTTTGATAATTAATCAATCTATATGTAATCTTTATTATAATCACTGTCCAGTCGAAACTAAGTATATATTGTAATAAAGCAAACAAAACAATAATAAAAGCCATGTTAGCAGGATCCCATTAAAGCTCAGGATTTAAATCACTAAAGATCACTAACCTGGTTCCTGAAATGCCATTTGGTGGATTCAACAAACCATAGCACAAAATTTACCAGCTTTAAGAGTAACAGCTATATGTGTTCTATCAATTAAAAAGAAGTGTAAATATATCCAATCTTCCTGATCTATTAGTTAAAAATGGAATATGAGAAGCAGAAAGAACTTCATTGAAAATAGCCATATGTAGAATATGACCCACAGACTCCACCTCACTGGAGCCAAAGGGTAGCTCTGGTCTCCCATAGGAATGTTATGAAGGTTATCCTTCAAGACTGCCAGAGGCAAAACATTAAGGCAATGTGCTCTAGCTTCTCATTAGATGGTATAATCCTTTCTCCTTGAGAAAAGTTATGTGTAAGTAGCTTGCTATCAGCCTTTTATTCCATGAAAATTGGAGAATGTAAAAATTCTTCTTTAGCACTCTATCAAATGTTTCCTCCAAAGCCAGAGCTTGAAATCTTTCCTTAATTTACAGTTACACGTCTTAAAAGATGAAAAAAAAAAAACATTTTTACCAAATGGTATCTTCAGGCAAACTGTTTCTAAGCTGCTTCTCATGTGAATCATTCCAATCTCACCATTCTCTGGGCCAGACTGTATATTCTAATGATACTCTATAGCGCTCAGTTGGGCCAAGACACATGACAAGCAGGATATAAATTATGACCTCTGCCTAGAGCTGCTACTGTACCATGGAAATTAATCTTTCCATTAGAGAATGCAGCTTTTAAATGGTCCCCCCAAAACTTGGTTTTTAGTCTCTCTTTTCTCATTTTCAATACACCGAATGTCTGCCTAGATCATATATTTTTTTCTGGCTGCTTTTTTAAACCATATAGAACAGTAGGAAATTTCATATTATGCATTTGCCTCTAACCCTGGACAGAATGCAGTGAGGTGTTTCCATAAGTAGAAGCAATTTCTGCTCAATGAACAGGGGGTAGTTAATTCTCCCTGCCCCCCTTTTCCCAGGGTACCTTCAAAATTTATTCCAGAGAGTGGATCTTCAGCATGTGCAATGAGGAACAGTAATGTTCCAATGTCTGAAAAAGATATGGCACAAATTTCTTGTCAGACAAATAACACAACAGTAGGTTCTCCCATTTTCCTCAAACCCCACCCCCAGTTTTTTTCTGGCCAATATAAAACCCATCTACAGAAACACTTTTTCCTGTAAAAAGTTTTGAAATATTTGTATTTGCCCATTGCTATCCCATACATGGCAATATTAAATATGAGTCTAAATTGATTTAGGCTTATTCATTGGCAAGAGGGAAGTAGGACTATAGCCTTTCTAAGCATAATTAAATAATATGAGCAGAAGCAGAAAATACAGATTATATTTGCAACTTTTTGTCAGCATCTGAAAGACAACAAACATTGCTTCACCTCCATCTTCTCCCACTTTTGCCCAGCGAGGTACACTATATTAACAAAATATTATATTGTGTGGCATGCCTCTGACATTTACCAAAGAGAGCTAGGCTTATGCACAAATCTGTCTCTTAGCCATCTTTGAGGCAAATAATAAACGTCTGAACTTCTAGGTGCAAAGGGAATCGTCTGCCCTAAATTGTAGTAGAACATAATTAGCAAATTCAGTTTAACAGTGTCACGTTACCTTTGCCCTTGAGTGTCTGCAAAAAGATTGCAGTTTCAGTCACAGGAGGAAATTTGATTAAATTGAGCATCAAAGGGGCATGTGCAGATGAAGCGCCCCCCCCCCCCGTAGAAAACTAAACTGTCTGAAAGGAACAGCATGAAGCTGTCAGTTCACTGGGACTCAGAATGTTTTGAAACAGGAAATTTGTAAGAGTTAGTGATACGGATTGGCAGCTATTTGAGCTTTATTTTAGGACCTTGGAGTGGTTCCTGAAAACCTCCAAACGTTATAACCAAATTGTAATTTTCCTGAGCCAAAATGGGGTATTTTATTAAAAACATGCTTGGAAAATAATCCAGTAACTTTATTGAAAATAACAGTAAATCCAGTCAAAACTCCTGGCGTTATTCATTTGTTTTTGGAGAACTGACTGTCAGACTTCCCTCTTTGCAGTCTAAATTGATTTAAGCCAAGGAACAAAATGGGAAGAATCCTGGTGAATAGCAGGATTAGAAGGTAGGATTGCCACACAAGAATTCTAGCAAATTCTAGCAAATACTGTACTTTCAGATGAGAAATGTATAGGTAGTTTCCAGAACTCTCTTCCATTTCCTTGTATGTGTGTGTGTTGTTGTATTTCTGTGCAGTGGTAGGGAGGTTCTTGCATTTTGCATAAAGGCAAGGCAATTTATATTTATCCATTGTTTTGGTATCTGCTATTCCTTTTATTAGTATGAGAAATATCTCTTACAGATGTTACCATGATATTGGTGCTTTACTCTCCATTAATTTGCCCAATCCCTTTAAAACCTGTCCAGATTGTTCTTCTATGTGTAAGCAACTTCATCCAATAGCTATTTATTGAGGGATCTCTAATCTTTTTATAATCATGAATATGCTCGTCATGAAATTGTCTCTGGGATATATGCTTTGCTTGGCAGCACGTTAGTCTCCTGTTTATTATTTTAAAAATAAAAATAAGTGAGAAGCAGACATTTTGACAATCATATTATTAGTACTTGGAAACCCGAGAACTATGAACAAGTCATTCCTTTTATATCTCCCACAACCGAGCTTCATGACTTAACTTCAGATTCAAGTTTAATTAAAGAGAAAATAATTTTTCTATTTACTCTCTCTGTACCAGGCATAATTTTGCACCCTTCTGTATTTCTCCTCTTCCCCCCTTGCCAATTTTTCTAACTTGGAAACCCTAAATATTGTCAATATTTAGCAATAGCAATAGGTCTTAGACCTATATACTACTTCATAGTGTTTCACAATACTCTCTGAGCAGTTTACAGAGTCAGCATATTGCCCCCAACAATCCTCATTTTACCGACCTTGAAATGATGAAAAACTGAGTCAACTTTGAGTCCCGTCAGGATCGAACTCTCAGCTGTGTGCAATTTGCCTGCAATACTGCATTCTAACCACTGTGCCACTAGAGGCCCTTTTTGTTAATGATTACACCTTTAGATTATACTTTTAGATTACCTATTCAGAAATTTTCTGAATGGTGTAGAGGAAAAGTTAAAATAGTGAAATCATGAATTATTATTGGTGCACTAGAACTAAAACAAGAAGCAAGAAAGACCACAGCACAGCATATATACTTCATGTAAAACCACCAGCAAAATTAAATAGTGTAAAGTTTCTGAAATAACTAAAATGCCAGGAAATAAAAAGTTCTTTCCCCTGGCATTGAAAAAAGTTTAAAAGAAGGATCTGGCATCCTTCTTTGGGTATGATATTCTCCAAGAGGAGGCACCACAAATGAAAGAATTACAGCTTTTTTAGTCACCTCCTACCTTGTTATGTGAGGGAAGATCAATAAATAAAGCTTCATTTTCCATTTTATTATTGTATTAATAGTACTGCTTGTTGTGGCTTTTCAATTTGTGTTATATTTGTTAACAATATGGTCAGTATACGCATACAGTCTGATAAAATTTACATCTCTTACAACTAATCAGACAACATTTTGGAGCTTCTATCCCAAATCATACACAGTAAATAAGTTATTAGTTAAGGTAATTATTTAAATTCATTTCTTATAAATAATATGTAGCATTTTCTTATAATATGCTTTAAAAGCGTTTATACAATTATAATTTTTCTAGTGGTAATAGTTGTTGATACTGCCTTTAGGCAGTATCGTTTGAGAGTTCCCATTAATTGAAATAAATGATTAAATAAAGGCCCCTTTAGTGGCCTGTAAGTCGGGATCAGTATAAACTTTATATCAATTCTTCTTTCATTTTCGTTAAACTAACATGATTTCAACTGAAACAGAGGGCATGATCTCTCCCAATGATTTTAATATTTTTCTGCCACAATTTGGTGACAAGCTTGAAATATGCTATCTGGAGATCATATTAGTCCTTGAACTTCATGTTTTGTGCCTTTATTGTAAACTCCCTGTTTCCTTCTGTAGCAGTTCTTGAATCTCACTCCCTTCAATCATACTCTTGAATAGCTGCTTGGTTTTCTGCAGCTGATAATATATATACATGTAGTTTGTAGTCACAAGAGGAGACTTTTGCTATGGTTCATTTTTTGCTCATGTTGTGTTTCAAAAGCAAAGCAGATGATTTACATTCACTGATGGCACCATTTATCATTTCAATTTATTCTATGATATCTCTAAACAAAGTGTTACAATACAGCTCACTGTACCTGTCAAGCTCTAGTAGAAGCCTCAATGAACAGGATACATTCATAATATGCAGAATCTTTTCCCATATCAGATCAAAGGAAATAATGGAGCTTGGATGTTTCCCTCTTACACCTCCCCCCCATACAATTGAAATGATTGATGGATTGCTGTTTTTAAAGAAAGAAAATCAGATCCTGTAGATTTCATAATCTTGCTAGCAAAAAGACTAACAGCACAATAATACCCAATAAAATGAATCATAGTTAATCATTGATCTACTTTTGTGATATACCCACAGAGGTAAAATTCTGATGTAGATTATTTGATTCATATTGTAAATATTTGGGGAAGGATCCAT